AACACCACCACCCCAATCAAACCACAGCACTAAATGCCATATCCATGTTGTTTCTTGAACACTTCAGGATGACACCACCACCATCCTGGGAAGCCCCTTCCATTGCTGGGCAGCCCTTTCAGTGAAGAAATTCCTCCTGAGAATGACGATGCTGAAGCAGGATTTAAATGTGAGGCTGCAACTTGACTTGGAATCACATGGTTACAACACAGAGTTAAGTGCACACAGACACAGCAATTTCCCTCATCCATGTTTAGGAATACCAAAATTTCATTGCATTTGAGTACAGGAATGGATAATGGTGAAGGAAACCTAATCCATGTGGATCTGAGGCATTTTTCTCCCAAGACGTCCATCTGCCCAGGATCTGTTGTGGGCTGGTTCTCAGCCAAAGCTCAGTATTTTGATACAAAATGTGTGCCATGGGGCACGCCTGGGCTGAGCCCACCCTGCTACTTCTCAGTAACATTATACCTCATCAACCTGTCAATTAAACCAATTTTTTATGTTTAAATCTCCCAGCCAGGTATCTGGTATCCTCACCCTTATCTAATGACTGCATATCAGCATCCCTGGGCTGCCCAGGCACTTCTGCCTCCTCAAGCATAATTACAACCACTATGCCACCTAAAACCAAACCTTTCTGGGTGCTCTCATGAGGCTTCCAGGGTTGCACCAGCCTGGGAAGCACCAGGAGGTAACAAGATGGGCAGATATTAAAGAGCAGCAGCCCTAGACCCTCTCTAACACATTCCCAGCTCCTGCTGTCTGCTCTTCCCAAGGGGTGTGGGTGAGCACCAACCCTGCCCTGGGCTCTCCAGCAGGACTCAGGGAAAGCTGTGAGGAGCTGCTCTGCTCCTGAAAGGTTCACACAGCCCAGGGGACTCGAGCAGTCACTGTGCTGAGGCAGGGCTGGAATAATTTGCTCTCCTGTGCCAGCTCCTCCCTGCTCCTCCTTCCTCCTGGTGCCCAGCACAGGAGCTGGGAGAGCTGCTCTGTTTGCAATGGATATGTCCCTAAATCACCATTTAATCTGGGACAGCAGAGACAACACTGGCATCTCCAAACAAAGTCCTGCACATAAATACCAAGCTGTAAGTCTGCCCCGAGCCTGCCAGCAGTTCCTGAGCCCCTGGAATACATTTGCAGATCTTCAGCTACGAAAGCATTTGACCTTTAAGGAGGTCTTCAATTACTGGAACCACAGCAGATGCTCTCACCACATTGCACTGGGTACCCTGCCTAGTGCTACTACTCTTAAAAAGCCCTTCACACTCCCCCTGCACCCCCCAAAAAAACCCCAAACATGTGGCAACAGTGACTGGCTCCTAGTTGTTGTCCTTGGATTTCAGCACAGCCCAAGTGAGGCTGTTCCTGGTGGCTCACCCTCCAGTAGCCAATGTCCACTCCTACCTGAGGACCACTTTGGTTCCTAAATAAGTCAATTTTGCACCCACCTGAACCTTGCTTGCAGACAGGTGACCAAACCCTGTTTGTACCCACTGTCCACCTCTCAGCCTTCTCCAGGTGCCACAAAAATCCTCCAAGTTACTGCTGTGAAGGTCAGCCTGTGGGACAGCCCACTGGCAGTGATGTCCTGGGGAAACAAACAACCCCAAACCCCTAAATGTATGTTAAAATTGAACAGATTAAAGCTCCAGCAGCATCCAGGACATGAACTGCATGTTGCACTCAGCATATGGCATTGACAGCCACAGCTGACTGACCACTGCCACAAGAAAAGCTGACTTTCCTCAAAGGACTACTGAGTTTCCCACTGATTTGGTGATGAAAAGTACAGAGGAGGAAAGGGGTGAAAACATCTTTAATGCCAGTTCATCTTCTCTGTGCCCACAAGGCTGAACCAAATGATAGCCCAGCCATGTCACTGCACACATCTTAGGCTATTTCTTCTCTCAGTCCTCTCTTGTGGTGTCCCTTCCTGACTCTTTCAATGATTTTAAGTTTTTGCATGTATTTGGAGCCAACTCTCTGATGTTTCATTGCTCCCATGGACTCTGGCAATGGCTGAGTTGTTCGGGTGTGACTCCTTCAAGAATCTTCCAGCTCTGTCTAAAGGAGCCAGTGCTTTAGACCATTTGTTTAACCATTAGCCCATCCATTAACCCTCGCCTGGGATTTTGTTACTTTTAAATTGCTCTGTCCTACAGCTTGACAATACTTTCTATGAGAAAAATTAAAAATAGTGGGATGTCATTTGAGAGCAGCAGAGAAAGACTCTAAGAGAAAGCAGAGTGTGCTGTCTCCTGTGAGAGAGCAAGCACTGCCCGTCAGGAGCTCGGGGGCAGGACAGGAGGGAGGCTGAGGGCTCTAATGACAAATCCATTTTCGTGTCCCCCAGCTGCTGTGCATTCCCACTGCCCCACTGCTCCCCAGGCAGGGCCAGCAGCAATTGCATTTTAATCCTTGAACAAGGTCCCTGGCAGCAGGAGCTGGCAGTAAAACACTGACAGTGCTGCCCTAGTGAGATGTCTCTTCCCATCTTCCAACCCTTCAGTGTTTCTATGGCTTCCCAAAATAAATATGGATAAAGGCACCTCACCCCTCACCTCTACAACTCGTCCCTGCTCCCTTTATCCCACTGCAATGGGAGAGGCCAGCACTGCTCCTCCTGGGCACAGCAGCTGACAGGACAGCTCTTCCCTCCTGTGGTGACAGGGGACAGCTCCCGTGGGGCTCAGGATGGTCCCAGTGCTCCCAGTCCAGACACAGAGCTGTGCTCCATCCCTCCCCATGTCCCTGTCACCACAGGGGCTCTGCCCAGCAGCTGCTTTCCCTCTCCTCCATTCTCAGCTTTGCATGGAGTTCCCAGCACCAACAAGGAAATGTCATGTCCCACCTCCCCCAAAATGTCCTGCTCTCTCTCTTTTTGGAGGAATGCCTTTGTTTTCTTGCAAGGAGGCTGCCCTGTGCCCTGCCCCTGCATTGCTGCCTTGCTGGCACCTTGTCTGACTTTGGAGCTTATCTAGTCCCACCACCCAGCCATGGGCAGGGACACCTCCCACCAGACCAGCTCCTCAAGGCTTTTATCCAACCTGGCCTTGAACACTGCCAGTGATGGGGCATTCACAGCTTCTCTGGGCAACCTGTGCCAGGGCCTCACCTCCCTGACAGGGAAGAATTTCTCCATAACATCTAAGCTAAATTTCCTCTTTTTCAATCTGTAACCACTTTCCTGTTTCCTGTCACTACAGTTTCTGGCAGAAAAGTTCCCCTCCAGCTTCTCTGTAGCCCCTTCAGACATTGGAAGGTGCTCTGAGCTCCTCATACAACCTTCTCTTCTCCAGGATGAACAGCCCCAACTTTTCCTGTCTTCACAGGAGGTGTGCCCAGTCCTCCTTGTCAACTTCACAGCCCTTCTCTGAACCTGCTCCAACAGTTCCATGGCTTTTTTATGGACAATTCCATCTTACATGAAGCTTTCTTACCACACTCATCTGCTGGCCCCATTGTGGCTCTCTGCTCTGGCTCCACACAAAATTATTCTGACCTAGGTAAGCTCAGGTTTAAACACCCTCCTCCCTCCTAACCCCTGCATTAAGTATCACGTTTGAAACCCTTCCAGGATCAGGGCAGCAACCAAGGACAAGTATCCTCTTCCCTGTGGTCTTGGCTGAACCCTGCATATTCCTTCTCTTTATTAACCAAAAAGTGTATTTGTGGCCAGGAAATCACCAGCTGTGAAATCACTGAGCCTTGCCCACCTTTGACCCAAGAATCAGCTCAACTTAGCCAAGCTGTGCTCATTTAAGCAAAGCATCATCACTTTAATGCTACTTGGAAAGTCCTTCTTCCACACAGCAAGGCACAGATTCAGGGTACTTTGTCTTTAGGATCAACAAGTTCTTCACCACACAAATTCAGGAAGCTTTGGGATTTCCTGTCAGTAGATACTTCTCACTTTCTAGTGATTTTTATCTAAATACTTAATATATACATACCAACATCACTACTTCTAAACTGTAACCACTGGTAGGACTTCTCCAAAAAAGCAAAGATAAACTGCTCCCAAGTTATGTATCTGGAAGAAAGCTTTAAAATCAAATGCTGTTGAATATATTTATGGAAGGACTTAATTAATCTCAGAAACACACCACTAATTCCTCATTTAAGGATCCCTTTTTGTCAAGCTCCTCAAGGACAGTTCTCAGACCCACAGCTCAGCAGCAAATGTTGCTTTTACTTTCTAATTCCTTCTTATCTGTAATTCAACTTTATACTATTTTTTTTTTAAACATCTATTTTTATCTCTGGTTTTATCCATCTCCTAGCAGTATCATTTTTCCTCTCAGCCTGTAACTTAATGAAAATTCTTGCAACAAATGCCACATCTTTGGCCATTTTCATCTTAAATCTGCCTACTACTACAATTAGTAGCTACCAGCAGATCAGAATCACTTGCAGTAGGGCTCAGCTGTGGAGCTCAAGGGCCCCAAGACCAAAAGTTCAGCTTGGAAAAGTTCAGCTCCAGATTCCAGCCTCCCCCCAACCCTGCCCAACTCCTAATGCTTGGAAACACCCAGATTACAAATGCTTCACATGGCATCACAGGCTTTGTAACTGAAGAAGCTGAAAGTGCTTCTTAAGAAGTACAACTGACGAAATATTAACTTGTGCTTTTTTAATAAAGTGAAACAAAAGCATTCTAAATCATAGCAGCTTATAGATCCAAACTGTCCATCGCTTGGGAGCAGAGTGTGATTAAGAAGTATGGAAACTGCAAAATATTAAAGCCCTGCAGCAATTCCAATTCATGACAACCCTTCCCACAGCACAAGGAATGCTGCCTGATGCTCTACTGATTTGGTCTACTTGCTCATTGGCAAAATATGAATATTCTTCCTTGGTAATGCCATATCCTTTTTTCCAAAGTGGAGGAAAGGTGCAAAGACCTTCTGGTTAGCGCACAGTAGCTCTTTCCCTAATTAGCAATGTTCTTTTACAGCACTGAGAAATGAGGACCTTTTGTTTACCATTAGTTGAGGTAAGTGTATCTTGCTTTTATTTGGGTTTAAGACTACTTTAAAGGAGTAGCTTTTCAGTTGCAGCATGGTTTGTCAAGATTACAATATTTATGACTGCATAAAATACATAAGTAAAAAAAAAAATTTGTAGAGTTTGTTATCAAGAGCTGAGACTTACACCTTTACAGAACTGCGGCTTCCTAACTGCTAGTCGATAATTTTTCTGGCAAGAACATTTTGTTATGCTTTTCTTTCATCTCTACACCCTTTTGTCCAACTAGTCAGAACTAGCAAGAAAGTCAGCTCTACCTGTGGTTAAACTGTTGTAACAGCATTAGATAAACTGTGCTGATTCTTCATTGAAACACCCTTCGTTTGAAGCTACAACATGAGAGGCGATTCTTTTTGTTCAAAAGGAACTATCTGCATGCTCTGTGCCTGTAACACTTCACATTGATTACAAAGAATTTAACAATGCAACCACTAACATACCCCACTAATGAGAAATTATGAGAAACTGTTTGATGCAGAACCTTCTGCATCAGTCAACTCTGATCGATAAGAAAGCTATCAATTTTGAAATTTAGATTTAATGCATTTTCAAGAAGCTAATGAGAAAGGAGCAACTTAAAATAAATACCATCGTTAAAACTGCAAACTGTTACAATGATATATTATAAACTTGTCTAAATAAACCTAGTGCTTCAAAAATTTACCAGTGAATTCGTATTACAAAATATGTGAAAATACAATAGAATACCACAAAACAACGTCCTTTTTTGGGGTCAACAATGATGCCAAGATGATTCAGTCTTAACTTTTAAAATTGTTAATAGAACATATTGTAATATATAAGTTGCAATTTGGTTGAAATCTAGAGAACATCCCCACCAAAACTCAATTTTCTTCATTCCTCCTCTAAAACTAGTGCCAAACTTCCTGTCAAAGTTGGTATTTTCTTCAAGAGCTTTAAAATTTAGCCGTTACTTATTTTCTACTACTACATTTTGGCAGCAACTATTTATTGGTCTGTTATTGCAAAAAGTGCAATTTAACAATAAACCAGTCTGAAGGTCATTCTATGTCTTGAGGATACATACCATATATTTCTTTAAAAATAATCATACTTTTGTAAGCAATACTTTACAGTAGACACCTCAAATCTACCATAGATGTAAAACTTAAAACGAGAAAAATTTAGTCTCTAAATCTTTATACACATATTTATATTTGAGTTTCTATATATATTATATATATACACAAGCACAAGAGTATATATAAAATATATATAATCAGATTCAAAAAAGAACAAAAACTGGGCACTGTACATAAAATCTTTTTAAAACTCAAACAATAGAAAAACTTCAAACATTAAACAATTTTAATAAAAGTTTCTGTACAATGCTAAGCAGTTTTATTTACATATAGAAAATGTAATAGGAGTAGTGTTTGAAATTACAGAACTCCTTAAAATTTCAATGGCAGGTAATCTGGAAAAAATAACAGCATTCCATTCACAAATATTTTCAAGCAATAAATATGTATTTATAAATAGTGTAAATTTACATCAAGATTAGAAACAAAAATCACAAATCTGAAGTTTATTCCTTAGTCTATGTGCAACCCATTTATCTTTGTGACTTGGCTGTTAATTGTTTTAAATTTTATTTAGGAACCAAAAGTGTAACCGTCATGGTTTCAAAACAAGACAGAAAAACATAAAAGCAGTAAAAAATTTATATCACCTAACTCTTCACATTAAAAAAAAAAAAAAAAAAGAAAAAAAAAAGAAAAAAAAAGTTGCCCAAAGAAAGACTTAAAATTTCTAACTACCTTACAAAGAAATGACCAGCTAAGCTAGTACTTTTTCCAAGGGAAATTCTGAAGGGGGAAAAATGGATGAAACCAACTCATCAGCCCAGAAACAGAGAAATACAAAAGAGGTGGTCTTCAAGTCAGTAGTCTGTATAATGTTGCCAGTTTTGTCAGATATATACAAAACATGGAATTATTTTTTTTGAAGTACAGCTGGATGAGCTTTATTTGTTTTGAGTTCTGGAGTAGGAGGCAGTGCTCTCTCCTGTCCAGTTGGTTGACACTCCGCACTTGGAAGGTTGCATAGACACAGCTTTCAGCCAGCAGCCTTACGGGATAGCTACAAAAATCAGTGGTGCAGAACTGGGTCACTTCCTGAATATCAGAAAAGTTTTCATTTAATGTCCATGAAAAAATGTCAAGATGAGGAGGATGGCAATGGAGGAGCCTGAAAGAGAAAACATTAAATTACCTTTTCTACAAGGATGCAAAACTCTGTGTTTAACTAAGACCTGCACAAACTGTAACCATGAGAGTTTAAAAGTCACACACGCTATTCTTTTTACACTTCAGGATTCTTTTGGGAGAATAGTGGCTTTTATTTTTCCACCTTACTCAAGGACAACATGTATTTTATGAACATTCTGCATTAGGATTTTGCCTGTACTGCAGACTGGAGTATTGTGTGAGGATTGTGTTAATATGATGTAAGCAGCCACAAGTCCCACTGTGGCAGCAAAGAGCTCCATGTGGCCTCAGAATAGCTATATCTTTATACAATCTACAACAGGGATTCTCAACCTGTTTACCAATGGGGAGATTGTCCATTAGTGGCTCTCCAAAGTCTCTGTGGGCTTCATTTTCCCTCCTCCCCTCTGCCTGAGCAGTAACATACCACCCTGAGGTTAAGATATCTGTGGAAAGGGTCTCAGATTCTCTGACATGGGGACCAAGTGCCTCAAGAATGAAGTGAGGTGTCTTGTTCCTTCCAGGAGACTAGATCCAGCAAATGACCTACTACTTCCCAGTATTGCATTTTGTGTCATTCCATCAAAGTACTGAGTCTCTGATGGCATTTCCTCTTCTTTTCCTGCTATCTGTGGAACCCCTTCTAAAAACTCCTCACAGTTGTTAAAGTCACTTTAGATTATATTGGAGTACCCAGCTATGGAATTCTAACGCTGGCTCATCCCTGTGTTTGCTCCTGGTACTTTACCCCAGTCTCTCTTTGGCCTAATTCACCTTTGCCAGCTGAAATAATCTTCATCCTGTGATTCACAACAAACCTTAACTATCCTCCTACATCTGATCCATGTCACTTCTGGGCTATGACTCTTCCCAATTGAGTGTGTATCCCCTTTGGAAGAAATGAATGGCACAGCAACTTCCTAGAAGAGCAATTATCAATGTCCTTTAGGGCCCCAGCCTTAGGTTTTGGTGGGGGAAGGAGCTACTCGCAGGTTGAGAACCCTTGTTCTAGGGACAGTATCATCACTGTTACCTGCATAATGTATAAACACAGACAACAAAATACCCCTCCCTCCCTCTCATCTCCATACAGAAACATTCTTCCCATTTCCACTCAACTGGATGAAGTATCTGAGAACAGGTGTTTATTTGTATGTTTTTCTATAACAGATCATCACTTTGAAATTGCAGCATTTCACAGACTATAATGACAGTGACCTTCTAGAAGCATGAACTGAAGTTTAACCACCCAGGCTCTGTGGGACTAATGAAGAGAATTAATTTCAGAGGACATGGTCCCAACACTCTCACCAGCCTCTACTGACAAACCTTGAGGCCTTAACTCAGAAGGTCACAACTTGGCATGCTACCAATACATGAAATAACTAAACACACATTTTCTGCAGCACCTGGAAATGAATCAAAAGGCACAGCCCTTTCTGGGCTGTCATATTAAATCCAACACGAAATTCCCATAACACTTAGTCCAATGTTTGTCTCCTTCGACAGAAAGCCAAGGCTTATAAATACATCCAGCATCACTTTCATTGTGGTTACAAAAAAAAGCCATCTTTGCCTGGAACAATGAAACCTGGGTGAAATGTTAGGACAGTTGTGCTGACGCAGTTCAAAGCAGGAGGCTGCCATATATAGCACAGAGCTATAATGGCAAAGAGGCTTTTTGCTTTAAATTGAAACGCAAAGGAGGCCCCAAGCCAAGAGACAGAACTGTTTGAGAGCATCCACTTGCTAAGCAGAAGGACAGTGCAGATTTGGGAGGGCATGGGTGGGGAAGGGGAAGGAAGGGTCTGAGTGCATAGGATGCTCTGCTGCTATACTGACTTCATACCACAACCAATGTATTAGAGATGCTCTTGAACCTGGTGCTAGTTTCTCCAAGCTTCACTGTCCTGATTCTTCCCATCTCCATCTGATCCAGTTATGGTCTTCAGGTGATCTCTATTGGATTTTTAAAGCCACAACTTTATGAATTGTAACATCATACTTTTCCTGAAAACTCAGTGGTTATGTTCTGCAGTAAGTTACTGTAGTATTTCACACAATTCTGACTCTTCAGGTTTTGTTCTGCGAATATCACACACAACCCAAACCTCCATTTGAATCAGAAAGTCCATGGTACTCATACAACGGAGCACCAAGGCAGTCTACCACTGCTTTACAAATAATGTATTTATGCACCCACTTATTAATTTGACTTACTAATGTAAATTGATCATAGACTTGCATCAAGTCCTCCATTTTGTACTGTTCTAGCACCACAAAGTTTTCCAGGTTCGTGCTTATCTTTCGTGCACAGTCTTGGCAATGTACAACATAGGTCTTTCGAGAATTGCTCTCACTAGTGACAAAAAGCAGATCAAAGACTTCCACCTATTAGACAGGAAACAGAAAGCCAAGCGTTACAATTTCATTTTTTAAAAAGTTAAAACCATGAAAACGGCATTTTCTTCAAGATTTACAAGCTTACCCTGTGCATGCAAAGAGAAAAATTAGATTTTTTCAGGGGATATCTATTTTCTCAAGGCTTGGGCAGAGAACTGAAGCCGTGTAAAATCACTAATATTACACTTAGGATGTCTGCATGAACAGCACCACGGGAAAGCTTTGGGTCAATATTGACAAAGGATCCATTTGCTGAATAGTAAGGTGAGGATTTCAAAATATATATTTATTTTTCCTTTTTACTGTCTGCTAAAGAAGTTTGTTATTGATTTCCTTACTACTGAGCCACATGCTTATCCTGCCCAAGAGGCCCCATCAGAGGATAACTAGAAACTCATTTTCAGGAGGTAGGAAAATGTTATTTCCTTTTAAGCTTCATGAAAACTATTATCCAATACTTTAAAGCAACTATTAGCAGTAAATAGAATGAAAAAAAAAAAATCAGCAAAAAAGGTATATCCTGCAGAAAGTTCTCTCTCTTGTGGGTGTGTGGGTGAATTCCGAAATGAAGACCAATTTACCTTTAAAATGAAGTTCAGCAGATCAAATTTTATGCAGGAAGGGATAACAACATTTTATAATAACTGAAAATTGAAAATCGACCTAGTGAAAAACAAAGTTGTGGTAGTACTGTGGGAGAGCGTTCAGCAAAATACAGCCCATGTCTAGAAAAACATCTGGATGAGCTCCTGGAAGGCAGCACTGCATCACACAGATGTGCTCACAGCACAGAGCAGATGCTGCAGCTTAGAAGCAAAATTTAAACATCACCAACAATAAAAGACAGGGCAAAATTTAAACAAATATTACAAGAGTAGATGACCCAACACATTTTTACTGACCTCACAAATGCTACAGTAATGAGCTGGCTCATCCTTTGCTCGTCCATGCCAGACAATCTCCTTTCCTGCAGCAATCAGAGCTTCCCTCAGTGTCTGACACTGTTTGAGAGTTCTTAACAGGCAGTACCTGCAACCAAAAGCAGTTGTGTGTTCAGTTCAACATTCAGCTGGATAGCAAAACTCAAATTTACTCAATTTTACTCAAATTTACTCAAAACTCCCTGTACTTGGAGTTTGCTCTTCCTCTGGGATTTCAGAAACAGCTGCCTAGAAAGAATCACGGGACTCATGGCTTAGAGAGAAGTCAGACCTTGGTTTATGGTCTCTTTCAGGACTGCCCCTTGCCCTGCAAACAGGCTGTACCTTTCATTTTTGAAACACATGGATGCTCTTTTGAGCACAACAGAACAATGAGTTTTTAAAAGCAATCCACGTATTTTATTTTGAACCGTAACTTTGTCAGCAAAAAGTTGGCTTGAACTGCCAAGTTCTGCATAGCTGTTTACATTTTGTGGGACTATAGCCTGATCCAAAGGACTCCTTTAATATCCTAGAACTCCTGTTACTTTCTTGGCAGTATTAAGCTTTATTATCCAAAATTTTCTCAAACCCCAGGAATCATTTTATATACAGTGGGTATGGAATCTATGAACATGTATCTTCTTCCATGCAGAAGGAAAAACAACAGACAGGGAGGTATTAAAAAAAAAATCAACACAAAAAATAATTCTAGGACTTATTTTATGAATTAGGAGAGTAACTGTTCAAATGTCAAATTAAAACCCACAATTCCCTGTCATACCCACTGTAAAGGCAAAAAATACCTAAATAATTTTATGTCACAATTTTATACAGTTCTCTTCCTTACAAGAAAATGTAACTTATTTCCCAGCATTTTATGAGCTATGTATATTCTTCAAAAAAAGCTGGCAAAGTAGGTCGCCAAATTTCTAAATTACAATGTTATTTACAATAATTTTAGCTCTCAGCTACCCTATTTATTTGAGCTGCAGCCTTTGCAGCCTTCAATTTTCTCCTCCACAGGGTGGTTGTGTTACATGCTCATTAGAAGCAGAAGGAAGATTGAAAAAATTTAAGGGTAAAAACAAACACTGGACAGAAAACAAAGTGCTCAAGAGTTCTATCAAGTGTTTTCAACTTGAACCTTCTCCCATTAGAGCCTGAGACATGTAATACATACATTCTCTATTAAAAAAAAAAAAACATCACATTTCTTTCATGTGTCTCCAAGTAGTTAGTAGAATCTCAGGATTCTGAAATACTCTCCTCTTGTTTTACACTCATACTGTTCATCTTCACTAAAAAAAGTGGCTTCACTATGGCCTCACTGACACCCTCACTGTAAGGTTAACACAGAACTGAAAGTGTGTTTCTCTGTTAAACATCTTATTTTAATGTACCAAATTTCAAGAAAATTATGCAGCTCATTAAGCTGTAACTCCTTCAACTCTTTTGAAGTTTGATGTGAATGTGAGTTGTGATGTTAGGGCCAACCATAGGTGATAGATTAAGTATTAATTCATTTGAGTGTTAGGTTATTGTGCTCCTGACCAGCTCAGTAATTTTGGAAAAGCATTCATTTATGCAATACAGCCTGATTATTTTAAACTTAAAAGGTACCATTCTTCTCTTCTGCTGTTAACTGGAAAAGTCTCTGGGCATCCCAGAGAGCAACTGCAAGCACACCTGCCACCATTGTTCTCCACTCCTGACTTCCAAAGACTTTTCAAAGTGCTATTTTCAAAGCTACAGCTGTGAAAGAAAAACCTGCCCAGAATGTAACCCACTTACAACACTGCTACAATGTTTGCCAAATTCACAAACAAATCAGAAAACAATAGCTTGAAGGTGAACTCCCCCTCCTTGGATAAAATTCAGGTCCTAGTAATGGAACTTGAAAATGTGAATTTTAACTATTTCATGCATTTATTAAATATGAGAGAAAGGATATAAAACTGTCACTGTGAATATGCAGCACAATTTCCTGAAGTTTGGGAAGCCTGAAGAAAGCCAAAAAGGTTCCTAGCAAAGTGACAGTGTGCAAGTTCAGTGGGGTCAGCTTTTAGTATTGCAGACCACTTTTTATTCTGGTATAGTGAGAATTTAATTGGAAGAAAATCTAGACCAACGCCCCTCAAAGTCTTTGCAGGTATGGCATAAAGATCTAAGTAAATCATGTCCAGTCAAATTCAACTTCAACAGAGGAGAATTAAAAATGGACATAACCCTGATTTATACTAGAAGGGCAGTGATAAACCCATTTGAATACTCAAATATTCAGTAAAACTTCTCAAAAGTGCAGAGACCAGCCCAATGGCAATGCAGAACCGACCTCTTTGTACCTTCCAGTAATACATCTTCCCTGATGCTGAAAAGTATTTTACCTAACTTCATGATTTTGTGCAAAGTAATTTCTCCCATGTCATGTTCTTTTACATTTTTGAAACTATTTCTGTAATAGAACTTAGTATTTCAGTTACTTTGGAATTAATTTTTTAGGCTTTTATTACTATGTTCATTCTACCGCTAAAATTCTTCTCTTCCTCAGATGCATTTGTAAAGTCCTTCTGGCTTCCATCTAAGAGGCTTGCAGTTAATTTTTCTTTTCGTGAGGGCTGTCGTCCCTCAGCCAAGTTCTCAATAATTTTTCTGCTGTGTTCCTGTTCACACTTCTACTGTTAAAATCAAATCTTTAAAAAACATCTCATGAGACAGTTTCAGGTTTTGCTCTTTGCCTTTTACCTTGCAAGACAGCACTGAACTGCATAGTAACTAAAAATATAATGAGGCATCAGATTTCTTCCAAAAGCAAAGTTTCTTTCTATTACTTCTTCTCTTCTGCTACTCCATTTCTTTTCATCACTAGCCCGGTTCCAAGTATTTATATCTATGCTCAAATTTTAGTTTATTGACTCTGCAGTGGTTACTTTCACACAACCCACTAAGATATATTTGTATTTATATTTCAAACTGAATTAGAAGCTACTTTTTATCATTTTCCAAAAGCTAATCTTTTGTACTATTCTGATACCTAAGAAGTCCCAGAGACAGAAGTCAAAACTAAGTTAGACACTTTATGTATGTTTGATATGCAGTTTTTGACAGACTTGTGCTCAGAAAAAGATGACAGCTGTGTCACTTATTATTTCCTGAAGACAATGTAGCCAGCTACCCAAGATGAAATTCAACCAGCTCTATCAAAAATGACTATTTTCCCCAGCATTATACATATGCATACACTCCCATATTGTACATAGAAAATTCAGGTGCTGTGGACAACAACCACAATCCCAGATGGTTTTTCCTACAAACAAGAAGCCCACAGGAAAATTATGCAACTGCTTCCCTCTTTTAAGGAAATTAATGAATGTTTATGCATTTCCAGTGTGTTAACAAAGCCAAGATCAGACCAGGCTGTGCTGATACTGATTTCTAGGAACTGCTATTCCATAACTACAGGAGTGACCATAACAAACAGTTATCTCAGGCTGCTGCTACTGGACACTGCAGACCAGAGCTAATCATCCCCTCTTTTTCCCCTCTGTAGCCACAGCAGGAACTTGAGTTTTGGCTGACAACTAACCTGGATGGGGGAGGCTTAATCCGAGTAAACTGGAAATTGTTTCAGTAGCATGGAAAAAGCAAATGCACATGCACACCCAAAACTTCTATCTGCTCCTCAGCATCTCTGTTTATTTGTAATGTACACTAAAGTTTGAGTCTCTTGCTAGAAAAAGCTGGGCTGCTGTCAGCCAGCAAGACAACAGCAAATTACCATTTTGTCCTCTGTGTTTCTTCATAATGTTTTAAGCAATTCTCCTGGAGAAGGATGCTGTGCTCAGTCACATTCTCCTCCTTTAAAACCCAAAACCATGGCAAATGCAAAATTACAAGTGGCTAAATTGCCAAAATAATATTTTTTCAAGAACATTCCAGAACTGCTTTGAGCTTTACAATAGATGTCTGCTGGGCTTTATATGTATTTTATATAAATAAAGATAAAAGTGAAGCTTGTGGATTTGGTATTTTTAAATGGACTTTTTGGCTTTTTCCCTCCCACACTCTCCTGCATTTCCCCGTTTCTCATTTCTAGCTACTCAATTTCTCTTCTCCTTTTTATGACAGCTGGCATTAGGAATATGAGCACTAATTGTTTAATTGAAGGGGCAGGATTGCCAGACCCTCAGCAAATACTTTATTTACCCTAAGCATCAGTTCCTAGATTTTAGGAAAGTGTTCACACACAAATGTTACCCTATAATCAAGCTTTAGAGCTGTAAACCTCCCTGTTGTCAACTTCCAACATTCTCAGTTCTTCCAAATTTAACATTTCCCCAATGCCACCATTCTGCAACAGATGTTCAAGCCTAAATTAAATTTCTACTGTAAAAAGATGTTACACTTGGATGTCACCAAAAAATCCCACTGGAGGAAAAAAAGACACTCATCTTCTTTGCCCCTTTTTTCACAAATTAACTCACTCGTTTTTTAAAGCCCATTTCAAGGCAAATAATAAAAAGATTCAATGCTTGTTGATCCATTATGCTGGTAAGACTAAGAAGGGCTCAGAAGTGCTTTGGTAGAGACTCAGGCAAAGCAGAGTGTGCTGCTACCATATGATGAGTAATATGCTCTGGAATTCATTCCCCCACTTTAAGACAAACCTATGTTATATGCTGAAATGTTCATTCATTTCCCAGCCTCAGTATGGTGCTGCAATATGATTTACATTTCTTGAAGTTGCACCCTTTGAAGAAAATCACTACAGATGCCTGAAGCCTGGAATATTCCTGCATTTTGGAATGTGCATATGAGAAATGTCACTAAACTCAGCTATCATTTTACACATCAATCAACTCATTGTTCAGAAGAGCAAAGGGAAGGAGGCTCTCAAGTTCCTGCTTGCCTTTATCTAAAAGATTTATACTGGTCTTCCAAATGACAACATGAGAACAATAAGTACAGGTTCTAGAAATGTAGAATTTAACTTTGCTGTAAAAATGACTATATATTCCAATTCTAATATTTGGGTTGATGACCTGATTTTCCTATTTCTGATCATACATACTCCAAACAGCTGCTGTGATCAAAGCCAACTTTCTGTAAACTGCTGAATTAAGTCTATGTCATATTTAACTAAAAGAAGTTACTTAGACTATTTTAAAACTATGCCACAACAACATAATATAAAACATAAGAAAATTAGGGATACCTATAAGTGTTGTGTTTGAAAAACAGAATCCAAAGTAATTTTGGTTTGGTTCCCAGGAAGAGAAAAGTCTTGCAAAGAACTACTTATAAATCAACCACTGACTTATGTGTGAAGAGGAAAAGGGCACAGTAAATCTTCAAATAAACAAAAACTTACTTTATCATTTCGAAAAGCTTTGGATCTGAGACCTTGATATTCCGAGCCATATTCCATGAGAGGTGAACCATGGGCACTATGGACTTCACGCTCTGCAGCTTATTCCACTCGTACCGTTCCACTGCCAGCTTGTACTGACAGGCTGCACAAACACACAGCAGCAGTCAGTCAGGTGAAGGAACAATTATCAGCCAACATCACTCTGTTTATAATAATAATTTGTCTTTTACAGCTAAACTTCATTCATAGTGAGCCATTCATTGCAACTGCATTTCTATTCTTTAAAATGTCTTAAAGAGTGTATTTATGATGCTGAAAGAACACACAATACCACAGCAGCAACAAATACCTGTGCAGACAAGTTACTGACAAGTGTTTGATTTCTTTGCTGAGCATAGAGCAGTATTTCAAAAATGGTGAATTAGTAAATTTTATAATATTCCAAATTAAAAAAAAAATCCAGGTTTGAAATGTCTGCATCTCCCTCTATTCACAATTTATCATGATCCTACACTGCTATGGTATATAATCTCTTCTTGAGAGAAGAAGCGAGTCAGTCTTTTTCATTAAGCAGCCTACTCACTCCACCCTTCTTTTAAAAATATTTTACAAAATTTACTGTGACTGAACATGAGAGGTCTCTCAGTCAATCACACAACCCCAGAGATACACTCTTTTTTGCACCATATAAAGACACATTTTAAACTACTTAAGAAACCAGAAGGTTTTTTGGAAGTACATTCTCTTCAAACACTTGACAGACTCTGTCTCTAGCTGCAGAATTTCCTTTCCTTAACACTCACATATACAAATCATTCCAAGACCATGGTTCAAAACTGAAGAATTCTAGAGCAGTTGGTCTGAGAAACCTAATGTTCCTCTATGAACTAAATTTTACAGCTGATTACATTTTACCAAAGAGCTATTAGGTACCCACTGTCCTACCAATATTAGAAGACTAGTCCTTAAATTTGTATGAAATCCATAGTGCAGTCTGCTGGGTAGAATAAATTTGGGAGAAAAAGTTAAGAAATGGCCTAAGAAGACAGTACATAAATAAACATACACATTTTACTTCTACAAGCCCATTCAAAGCATGAGTGCCAAGACTGCATTCTTGCTGCTTTCTCTTCCTCTTACAATGGAATTCGTTAAAGCTTCAACACATCATATTTTAAAAATATGACACATGGGATTTTTTTCATCTAGTAGAGCATGGAAAATCAGGAAGAACTGGCAGGTTCTGTGCCATGTGCAGCATAATATTACCTACACAGAGCTCAGCTCAGGCACTGCTTACACATACCTGTGAGAGGGCCAACGTTCCACGCAATGTTGTTGCACCAGCCAATAGCCTGAACCCAGTGAACAGTGCCAGCATTTATCCACACCAAATCCCCTGGTCTTTGAATAAATCTATAAACTGGGACATTGGCTTCATACAAATCTTCCAAGTTTGGCCACCAAGATCCCATTAGGAAATTCATATTGTTCCTGAAACAAGAGGAATGATAGACTTCAGCATTTCCCAACGGACAAGTTAGGGGCAGATACTTCAATGCCTGATACCTGTGAAAAATTACCATCACCGTGAATGTTTTCTGCAGCTAATCAGTGACCCACAAACAGCAGCCAAATGAAAAGTGTAATCTGTAAAATTCCTGATCATAATTCCACATTTCACATCTGTGATACCTTAGAACATCTTCCCATCCACCTGCCCATGTGAAATCAGTTTATAGCTTCCAGTTAAGTTCTATTTTCCTTTATGTTCCCCAGTATTTTATTGATGCTGAAGCAGACCAACCCTTGATCAGATCCAGCGTGGCAGTGGTGGCCAGTGCTGTTTCTTCCATCACTGCCTGACCTCCTGTACAGACCACAGCAGCTTCCAAGGATGTTTTCTGTTCTGAACACGGACTCACGCTGTCTGTGTGTGCATGTGCAGCTTGCCCACACAACAAGCAAACTCTTGGCAACATTTTAACTGTGATCCACGGGTCTGTGCTACCAGCCAAGAAATGCTGACCCTCCTGAGAAGCATGGAAAAACACCTCCATATGGATTTCCTAACTATGAAGTCTTCCCCTATGGTTATGCAAAATCCACACTCCTCTCCCATCCTTATCTCAGTATTACACTGCACCATGAGAGATTATTTGCCATGCAGTTTTCAAAGACAATCAAGTGCCTTTGTAGAGGTACTGTAGACATTTTGTGAGGTTACCAAGCTCTCAGTTTCTCTGTCAGCCTCTGAAGGACAATGACATGCAAGTAACAAGGCCTGTTGTGCCAGAGACATCACTATTCCATCAGTGAAAATTACATTTTTGAGATGGCTTATCTTTTTAAGGGTGGATGAAATAAGTACAGCTGTCAGCAGACAGGAAGAAAATACAGAGACACTGAAATGAATTTGCAGAGTTCTGGAAAAGTTCTGGAGTCAAAGCTTAATCCAGTCTCAACTGGATAAGAAAAACCTTCTCCCATACAATCAACCTCAGAGGCTCCTGTTGGAGTCCTGGCATGATTAGGGGACACAACTAATGCTCCCTCTTTTTTTGTGTGTGCATGTACAGACAAGTGTCGTTCTGTTTGTTTTTAAAACCACTCTACACAAGGCATAGCAGAGAAATCCTAACGTTAGTGCTGGCTGAGTAGTTCCCCAATGCTCAGGGTACCTCAGCTTTTCCAGGCAGTTACAAATATGTAAATCTCAGTAAAGCCTGTCATGGCACCTCCTGGATCTCAGCAAATTAAGCTTTCACTCTAAATGCAACAAGAAAACATGCCAAAATACCACTGACTCTCTATTTGCTTCTGACAAGAGATTTCTGCTTTTGCTTTTGTCACAGGCAACCCAAGTTTCTGTATATTGTACAAATGTGGTATTTTGTAGGATGTCTAGATTTTGCATTTTGACCTAATTTTAAAAGACTTTTCTGACTACATGGAAAACAGATAAAATAATGTCCCCTTAGAACACCCTCAGTAATTTTCCCCCTCAGGTCTGAGGCAGGCACAAAAAATTTGATAAAAGTAAGAGAAAAAAACATGTCCAGCTTACTTTTCACAGAAGTCATTCATGACACCCCAATAGCTTTCAGGGACAACAAACCATTCACAGTCACCTGGACCAATATTTATATTTACTGAGCAAAAGTTGTTATTTTCTTGATGACCTGAAATTTAAGAGAAAAGTAAACACACTTCATGTAAGGCCTTTCTATCAAAACAATGCCAGGAAATGCAGATACAATTACTAAAACAACTTAGAGTATAGTTTAAGTATTTTTATATACTTTATATGACACATACACTATTTAGGTGCTTCACACAGTTAAGTTACCAGAGACCTGAGAATTCTGCTTTTGTTAGTTTGTGGAATACAGAATTGGAACTACCAATGGGATCTGACCAATATTTCAGCAGTTCCTCTCTCCTGTAAAAAAAGTATTTCAAAAGCTCAGATTTTGTGGTTCATGCTATCTCCTGACAGTCCTGGTCAGGTGCAAAACTTTGTGACTTCAGGTACTGAACAGGCAAGGAGTACAAAAATATTTTAGAAAAAGATTTCAAAATTCATGTAGAAATGTCCAGTATTTTATCTTCTTTAGACAGCTGGAAAATTGAGCCATAATCCCTAATGGAATTTTCTGAAGATCTACTTCAGACAAAAACAGACCCTGAAATTTAGTCCAGATTCTTCAAGTTCCAGTCCAGGGCCCAAACACAGCACAATTCATCATGGAGGGCTGAGTCCTATTCTCAGACAGTAAATAATCTAAAAAAGTGGAAGTCTCTAATTTTTAGGATTGCACCAGACCCTCTTGGGAAGCCTCTAAAAACTTCCAAGGTACGTAAAATAAAAATACTGTCCATGTATATAAACCCAAATTTCTTTTTCTCCTTAAAGAATTCACTCTTGCATGCAAGAGGTCAACAGGGCAATTCCCTAGCACTGCAGAAATCCAGAAAATTCCACTGTAAGTGCTTTGAACATGCAGAGTTAAGTAAGAACTACAAAAATACTGAATATGTATATTTATCACGTTTAGACATGCTCTAAGATACAGGAAATCTGCAGTGCTGTTAAATCCAACACCCTACAGCAGAACCTGATATTTTTTTTAATGTGATTATGATGATTATACTCACCTGGTGTCCTGCTTCCTGGAACCTTCATGTAGAGCTGCACTGTGTTCATGCCCAGGATGGTATGACCAACATGGCTTAGAAGATTTCCTGCTGATACCACACGTACAAAAGCAGGAAGTTTTGTCAGTTCATGGAGTTGTAACTTCCACCTGCAGCAAAATAGCAAATTGACAAAACTGTGAATCCCTGAAACTCTCTTGTTCAGAGAAACAGTTTATTATTAACTAGTTTGCTTCTACAGACGAAATGTCCTTTAGAGAAAAATGGCATCAATATCTAAAATTTTGTAGCAACCTCAAATCACATCCACAGATGCACACGTTGATCTTCCAGTGACTCTGCCACAAAAGATGCCATCATCTTAAGTGGTGCTTACTCCCCAAACACCATCAACTTTTCTTCTTTTCTTATGACTGAAGTAGATCAGAATTTTTGTACTGCAGCTGGTGGGACTGACAGCCTAGACATGCTGGATCTCTCATGGAAGAATGTATTAACCAGAGACTGAACCGAATAATTATTACTGGACAATAAAAACATGCTTTCAGAGTATTTCTAATATTTTCTAAGTTACCTTCATCTACCCACTGAAGGATATATAGTTTAAATAATACTCAATTTTGGTTTTGAGGCTCTTGAGAGGCATCATGGCTTACCCACAGGTAAGCATTGGTCTGGTCTTTCCTACATATTTTGAACACTGTTACTCCATATAGAAACAAGAGTTATGTAAAGGTGAAAACAGATGACAGTATGAATGAAAGGAAAAAAAACAATGAATAACAAAAATTCAGACAGAAAAGAAAAAACCCTTTAATCTTACAATTTCTATGCAAAAATTAAAAACTTGGTGTTGCCAGGATAATAAGTTAGTAATCAAACAATTTAAAGCCTCACAATGAAACAAAGGGAATGGATTAGAAGGAGGACTAGAAAGAATGGTTTCTGATGGGTGTTTCAACTCAGTTCTGGAGCAACAAAAATCCTGGGAAGAGAAGTTTGAAAAGATATTTTAGCGTGAGAAGGACTTGTAACAACAGTTTGAAGACAAAGTAACCATTTCATTGTGGAAACTGGAATTTATCAACAGACTGGCTGATGTGTGAGAACACTACACTGGATTTCCAGAAGCATTATCATCATGTAGAAACCCACTGTGAGCAGGAGAAACTGCAACCAACTTACTTCTTGTCATCTGACAGGTCAATGTTGGTCCCAAACTTGATTGTTTTAAAAGGTCCTCTTCTCCTCCTCCCAGAGCTGCAAATGTAACAAATGTATCAGGCAAATGTGAAAAGGGAATGATGTAAAATAGCACATATAACCAACTACAGAATGAGTAGAGTTTTAACACACTTACTTATCAGAAGATGTGGATTCATTATCTGAGTGGTCCTTGTGGTGACTCTTCTTCTCATTTTCCTCCTGTAAAATGTAATTTTGAAATGTTTTCACATATATATGCATACACACAAAAGAACACATAAAATATATAGCTATAAAGTTATAACACAGAGGTAGATATAAGTATATTTATTTCAAGATACTGACACAAACTTTGAAATATCCATATCTAAGATTTTATATCAACATTTCTTCATTGTGAAGAAAATAAAAAAAAGTCAATCAAATGCACTGAAATAAATTTCTTCATGGCTGCAGATTCCATGACACTCAGGCCAGGACAACAGAAAATATCTACATTGTAAATATTTCTGCTGGCCTGCATTCAAGCTGGAAATGAGGATATTGGCTTGCTCCATTATGAAGGTGGCCTGGAATCCAGTATTAAAGAATTCTGCTTTTTCAAATAAGAACATCTACCTCCCTGCAAAGTCAAGCAGGTATTCTGACAGGAAACTAGGATGACTAATATTTATAAAACCAATTTAATAAAATCCATTATATAAAATCTTTTGAATTTTTCATAGCCATATGCTATTTTAGCACTAGCAGTAGCTGAGACCACGACTAGTGGAAAAAATCCAACCAGTATTAAATGCTGCAATTTGATCTTTTTAGCACTGTGCTCAAAATCCTATTCTAAAGACTTCTATTTTGGCAAGTATATGGGCATAGAAGGAAAAAGAAAGAGACAAAAAGGAAGAAGGAGCTGTCTGGATTCTATCCAAAGATCTCTGGCTTTGAATGGGATTGTTGTTAAATCTCAAAGTGCCCTGTGTACCTGAGAAAGTCTTATTCATCCTTTGAATGAAGGACAAAGAGAAACAAAAAGGAACCTAGTGATGATGGATTTATCAAATGCTGCAAGACATGTTAAAAAAGCAATGCAATCGCTGTTAGAGGAATAAAGAAAAAAGATCACTTAGGGCAAGCCAAGAGAACTGTGGCTACAGAAAGAAGAAATAAAGCTTTCATTTAAACACTGGAAAGTCACCTAAGGACAGGTCAGAGCAGTGTTAGGAAAGGACACATGTATAGTGTCTTTCTGATTTCCAGGGGAAAAATAAAAATCATCACTCTTAAAAACTATTTTATGTATTGCATTTTTAACACTAGTTTGTAACAGTAAGGAAAAAAAAAAAAAAACCAGAACACCCTATGGGACACATTGTGCTGCAAATCCAAAGCTGAGGCTTTCAGTGGTATGTGCTAAATTATATACAAAAAAAAAAAAAAATAGATAAATAGATACAGATATATAGACAGCTATTATATTCCAGTGCTGTAATGTTCTCCAGCCCCTCTGGAATGACACACAGGAATACAACATTGGTGCCACACCTCATGGGGCAGCAGAAACCTTCAGCCACCAGAAGACTTCAGCCAATACCCTACTGAAATTTATTACCATGGCAGAGGAAGAAAAATCCCAGGTTCTAAAAGATTTCTGTGCCCACCACTTCCCATAGTATTTGTTTCTTTTCTTCATCCTGTACCAGCTCAAAGCCTTATGACTAGATTCCCTTCCGTTCTCTTTAACTATAAATTAATTTCTTTGTTTCTAATCCTTTCCTCTAATGCAAAAAATTATATTTAGAATTTATTTCCCTTCTTACTGAAATAATTCCTGTTTTTGTGTAAAGGCAGTGAAAACTGCAATAGTCAATTCCCCACACTGACCTTTTCCCTATTTTCTAACAAACAACTAGTCAAAATTATCTTCTTGTCTTAGTTCTACCTTAGTCCAACCTTTTTGCAACATCAGGTAACATAAGCCTCCAAGGAGAGCCCATAGACTGTTTCAAGAATATGCTCACAACTTCAGTAAAAAATGTTAAAAAATACCAATAAAATCACATTTCACAGAATCCCAGAGTAAGAGAATAACTAGGGTTGGAAGGGACCTCTGGAGATCACAGGGTCCAGCCCCTCTGCCAAGGCAGGAAGGGGAAATATTATTTCTAATACTTCACTCTGTCACATAAGCCTAAAAACTTCTAAACTAAATATGAACTGTTATGTTTGGAACCCGACAAAAGACTAGTATTAGTGTAAACTTCTAATGAGCCACATCCAAATTAATTCAGGATAGTAGGAAGAACAAAGAAATCTGATTTCAAAATGTGTGAAATTGGAAGTATTCCAAATTGTAAGAAAACCTCAAGTTCTAGGTATTTTAATGTGAATTTTGACATTATAATACCAAAGCTTAAACTAATAAACTTTTAAAGTATGTAATTAACCATGGGGTTTACATTATCGAACTGAAGTTTACACTAAGCATTTGGGAAGAACAATATACTATTTGACCCTCTATTCAAAACAGATTTTGAAAATTTACCTGTGCTCTTCATGCTAATGGAAGTGTGTCTTTTTCCTTGGCACTTTCCACGTTTTCTAACAGCCATTATTAACTGGCTCCAGAGTAAGTATGGAGTTTGTGAATAACTCAGATAGTAGCAATTAACTTACCCTTAAAGACTCCTGGAATGAGGAGGCCTGGTACTGTGCATATTTTGCAATTGTTGTATGAGATCTACTGCTTTCACAACGCCAGATTTTCTTTGTTCCAGTGGGGTCCCAGTTTTCATCTGCTGGCTGCAGTAGCTGTGTCCTTACTTCTACTATGTGTTCATTATTCGCTTCTACCAATGTCTTAGTAGAGAAGAGTCCTAGATCTAATTAATAGCAATAAAATTAATAAATGAAGGTTAAAACAGAATAAAACAATTTCAGGAAAATGCCTGACGTTATCAAAAGGTTTCCTCTAAAATAATTTTTACCCTTTAAGTCTTCACAACACTGCCCACCTGAACATTAACACCTAAAAATTTTCCTCCACATATCCAGTAGAAAATTAGAAAAAACTTGGCAGCTATGGACTATTTTACAAGAAACATTTTACATGCCTTGGCTAAACAAATCTGCAAACAATGTTCAAACCTATTACCATGAAAGTATTTTTCAGAGCAGAGCTTAATGAATGTACTTCCATCATAAAACACATTTCCTACCAGCAGTGATAGTTTATCTACCTAGAGACTTCAAAATATTGCACACAGTCAAATTATAGATCATTAGATCTAAACACAAAGACATGCATACAGTTTCTTATAGGAAAATGTCTGTCTGTAAACTTCCATATCCACAGCTCAGTTCCCCACTGTGCTCAACAAAATCTGCTGTATTTGTGGTGAGTTTTTTTTTAAAAAGACCAAGATTAGAAACAACAGCCAACTGAGATATGACAAGTTACCCTAACGACTTGGAATATACAGGTAAAATAGTATTATAGAAATAAAATATCCACTTCTGAGAACTGAGAGACTTCTCTTTAAAAAACATTAATTCCTCCCCAAAGTTACAAAAAAACAAAAAAGTAAATTTACCTAATTTAAGCGCTCCAGCAAGGCCACGTATTACAGTAACAGGGTTGTTTGGGTTTGTACAAAATTGATGTAAAGGTGGAAAGAAAGCATCTCGTTTATTTTCCAACTGCAAAATCATAATGGAATATTAGATGTCAGATCAATCTAGATTCCTTATTTGTAGAACAAGAAAGAATAGTAAAAACAAAAGAGAAATAACAGAAAGAAAACAGGAATTTTCTGCATTTCCCTGCACTCTGGGGAATGAACAGCTACACCATACAGTTCTTTCTATTGTAAATGCTGGGTTCACTCTTGAAATTAATTTGTTACTGTAATTTGTTTCTTGGCAAGAATTATTCCCAAGTTGCTTCAGCTTTACAACTCAGGTTTCCTGAACTTAATTTCTTTATCTGACAGTAGCCTTGTACATTACCTAAATCTACAGAATTCTCTGAAGAGCAATACAGTTTCTTTTCAGAAGTAAAAAAGCGCTAATTTTACAGCTAATGTATACGAGAAACAGTATAATTAAAAGACTACTCTCATGGTGTATCTCATGTTAACCAGAAAGGTTGATTTGATTTTCTTATGCTTCTCTGCACCTATAACCTCAATTTTATGCTATAGCCTCCCTCCTGATTTTTTTTTAATTGCTATGAATCCTTTAGAACGCTGAAGGCATTTCTAGCAATAAACAAAACACAACAGAGAGTTCCCAAACAGTGGCACAACTGCACAGGCTGTGGCAGTGTGGTGACTTTCCAGCTTTGTGAGCACTCAACAAAGCTGGGATGGACTTTTATTAAGGCAGATGAGTTCAGGTGCAACACCTGGAAAACATCTGGAAGCACTACTGCATCCAGCCAAACCCAGCTCTCAGCACACTCAGACCCAAGTGCCAGCCTCTTCTGGTCCCCAGATTAAGATGAACAAAGCCAACTTGAGCTTTTCACACTGCCTGTATGGGCATACTGTAAATTATTTTTCTGCTATTAAGGAAGTGGATATCCTGTAATTTATTCTTCTATTACTAAGGAAGTTAGCTCAATAAAGCTATTATGAAACTTTATTTTCAGAACAAAAGTTGTAATGCTTGCATAAGAAAATACTACTCAACTAAACCCTGCCTTTTCCTGGTGACATTTTGTTCCTAACATCACCTCAACTTTTATTCATTTTTCTTCACTATGTTTCGAAGCAAATTGTTATGGGAGTTCAGTTTAATTACTTGCTCATTTATACATAAGCTGTCACTTGCAAAAAATTGTACATACATTTCTGAAATACTGTGCACTGTATATAATGAACTGTTTTGCTTATTCTGCCAACATTTTGAGTATTAAAAATAAAAAATCTGAAGTATTGTTCCTTTTGATTACTGAAATTCTTAATTTGCAGGTCCTTTGAGAGTCAAACTATGTCTCAAAATTTTCTTTATGGTTGGCATTTCTCCTGCCTATGTATATATACCAGTTTGGAGAGCACCATAATTATAACTCAGTGATGAACAGTGCATCTTTAAAATAATTACATTATGTAATTCAGATAGCCAAACAATTGCAAAAGACAGGCAGCAATGTACTGCCACTAGATTTACTTACATAAATACTAGGTGTAGGCGGATTCAGCTTGTCCTTTGGCAAGGGAGGGTATGGTGGAGGCGGTGGTCGTGGAGGTGGGCATTTATCCAATAGAATACTACTGTTAGATAAGCCATTTTTACCCAGATTCCTAAAAGGAAACAAGAGCTGTCTCTGTCAATACTTGACAAATAAAATAAATGCGTATCAGTGTAATCTCTTATGCAAAATAATGTTGTATAAGGAGAAACCATCATTTAAGATGCAAATAAAGCTCATACGTTTTAATCAAGAATTTTCCATGTATAATTTGACATTATTCAAACTTATTCTCACTTTGCCTGCTGAATTTGCAACATCACCACTATTAATTAAAACTACAGCCATTTTCAACAAAAGCAAGCATGACAGATTTTGATAAAATTGAACAGGAAAAGGTTTCCCCTACACACAAAGAACTTTAGCAGGTGGATGATCATTCCACAGGAGCTGAGGTAGCAGAGCAAAATTCAGAAGATGACCCAAAAACTGCTGAGTCACAGAACCCAACTACAGCTACACAACAGACACTGAACTGAACCACAGCTACCCCTCCCTGCCTTACACATTTTGAAGCAGAGGGAGCCACTGCTGTATAATCAATTTTTTGGAGCAACAAGGGAGAGCTCCTACCCCCAGTGAACTCCTGTGTCAATGCCCCTGTGTGTGACTCCAGGGAGAACCTCTCTGCCTGTATTTGCAGCCTCTCCCTGGACATTTCCAGGTGTGCAGGACCTGCTGGATGTGTAACTTTTCCTATAATGGATGACCTGAAAAGTCTCCATTCTGAGCTTAGCTTGTAGTCAATATCCAGTCACCATCACTAGGAATGTACTGACAAAACCATCTCTTAAAGTCTTGTTAAAAATTACTCAACTACTTCAAAATTCTGCTTCCAACTATTCAAATCCTGCTTCCAACCTCCTTTGATTCACTGTTGTTACATCCCACAAAACAGGATGTTTCTAATGCATAGTTTAGTCATATATCTTTATAAAATTCACTGGTTACTAAGATTGTTGTTTGTTTTTTTTTTTTTTTTAATAACAACAGTATTCAGCAGAAAACACAAACTTTTATCAGATGAAACTCACAGTGACAAAAACTTCTTTCTGAAACTGAGCAACATGGTACAGCCAGATACTGCATCACGAGATCACAGCTTCAAATCAAGGTAGCAGAACCCACAGGATGGACCTGAGGCTCAAGATCAGATAGACTGACATGACAAACACTTCAAACAAAATGGGCAAACATCTCACACACCACAAAACACACTGGTCACACTGGTTCATTCCTTGTGCTAGGTGAGTCCAATGCCAGAATTCACTGCCAAGAAAGTGAAAGAGTGATGTAGAAGCTTTGATTAGTCATCATAGAGCTTGGCAAAAAAATCACTGGCCAGTGCTTAACGTCTGATTTCAAAAGCTTCATTGTCCGAACATACATAAAAAAAAGCCAACAAAAGCAAACAAAAAAAAGAACCCCAAAATCACATGGCAATATAAAATCATCACCACTCAGAAATTTATTGACTTCAGCTGCATGAATCTGAGATCCAGACTATCTATGCAAAGCGAAACTAGAATCTAAACAGAAGGTCTCAGACATTACTATAACCTCTGCATTACCAAACAGAGAAATACAACCAAGAGAAACAAATGCATAGTATTAAAAACAGGAGAGAACTTTGACAAAATTCAGTTTGCATTGATAAACAGTTCTTAGGAAATTTCTAACTCAAGGAAAATGAGAAAAAGTGAACTTGAAGATAAAGGGACATTGTCAGAACTAATGGGACTCTTGAGCTGCTGCAGTCACAGCAAGGTAATCACAGTGAAAGCTCCAAAAATCCAGAGCATGGGGGGGTTTCAGGGAAGGGTGACAATAGAGAGAGGAGAAACTTCTGTACACTTAAAGGAACTACAGGTCTGAAAAGGCAGAGGAGAAAGGGAAAGAAATAGCACAAAGGAAAAGATCAGATTAACAAAGATATCTCATAAACCCAGCACTTGAAGCTGGTATTACCAATTGCACGCTATAATTTCCTATTAAGCTACTAAAATTCTATGCGGAAATTTTAAGAGGAAAATGGATAAAGAATTGCAAAGCTGAGATAGCAAAACATTCATAATTTAAGTGGCACAGGAAACAGATGGGCAGAATATTTAAAGTTGTCTTTAACAGACCAGCTTCATTCTATCGTATTTTTTTTTCTATCATCTTTTTTTTTTAAACTATGAATCAGAATATCTTACTATTAATAACAAGGCAAGAGAGCTATTAAATAATAATTCTGTAATTGTTAGTGTGCCAAACAGAGCAACAGAAATTATAAAAAACACTATAGAAATACTAAAAATACTTTCTACCATGGTGTGAGTATCCACTGCCAGTCTCTCCACTTCTAGAAACATGGAACTAGAGCCAGTGCAAGGAAAGTGAAAGACCTTTTTTGACCACAGCACCTGTGCTGAAAATCCCACACATCCCAGTTTCAAGAATGCAGTTTTTGTGAGAGGATTTCAGAGTGGCTGAAAGGGGCAAAAAATGCACTGCTCAAGACAAAACAAATCTGATTTATGCCCCCAAAAGAAACTGGACACCCAGTCATCTGTGATGAAGGAATGAAGATCAGGACAAACTTCATTCATTTAAACTGACTCCCAGAGGAAACTGGCTTGTTGTGGACTGTGCATGGACAACACCCTTCACTGTCAGAGCAGGAAGAGAAGGCAGAAGCAGCTGTCAGGCTCAGAGGGACACGGCCAGGGATGCACAGGGACAGGACATGCAGCCTGTCCTGAGCCACAGTGCAGCACTCAGGCCACTGCAAATCGCTCCAGGGGTGAAAGCAACAACTCACTGAAGTCCTTCACCCTGAAAACCAACTCAACCTGCCATGAGAACTGCTTAGGAGAACATCAACTACTAAGGATGGAACTGGTGCCTTAACTTCACATAAATCAATCAATTAAGTTGGAAAAGACCTCTGGGGTCACTGAGGTCAATCCATGACCCATCACTGCCTTGTCACCCAGACCATGGCCCTGAGTGCCACGTCCAGCCTTTCCTTGAACACCTCCAGGAATGGTGACTCCACCACCGCCCTGGGCAGCTCTCCAATGTCTAATCACTCTTTCTGTGAAGAAATTCCTCCAGATGTCCAACCTAAACCTCCCCTGGCACAGCTTAAGTCCATATCCTCTTGTCCTGTCACTTGCTACTTGGGATTATTTCATGTAGTCATGGGATCTCTTGAATAAGCAATCATCACATTCATTAGAACACCCCTTTTAATTAAATTTTACTGTTTTCTAGGATACATTCCCACAGCTTTTAAGAGACAGTTTACAGCCTTCAGTCTTAGGTAAAAACTTCCCCGGCTGTACCTAAACACGCAGCTGACCAAAAGCCCCGGTGTGACACAGTTTGAACAGTCACCCACAGAACACTTCTCAGGCAATTGCCAGACGCATCTTAAATACAGGATTGATTCTGCATCATCCCACCTCCCCCCCCCCCAAAAAAAAGTATCATGCAGATTTAAAGGTACCTGTGTTACACAGTGATACCAATTTTAACTCTATTTAAAAAAAAAATTATACGTCAAAAGATATTAAAGTTCACAGGATAAAACTTGTTTTCCCAGAACCAAGAATCATTATCAATAATTATCATTCTTTACATGTATTAAATTAATCACCTCAACATTTTTATTGTTTCACTCAACCATAATGTCAGGCTGAGAAAATTATGTCTATTTCTCAGGAAGTGTGCTCTTCATGTCCTCTGGAACTTTTCCTGTTTTCCAAGAACCATTAAAAAAAAACCTATATGAATTATAAACAGTTCTCTGGCTCGCCCTTTCAGAGTTCACCGATGCATGTTATCTGGGCCCCTGACTTAAAAATGCCAAATTTAAGTATAACTGCTGTTTAACCTTCTCCTTGAAAAGGGAGTACATTCTATGATGTGAACATTTTATCTGCCTTTTTCCCAAGCACAGAACAAAAATATTTACTGAGCACTCTTGCCTTATTGAACATTCGAATACTTCGGTGCAGACGTTTTTTTATTCTTTTTTGGTTTTGTCTGAAAGTTTTCCTCTTCCAAACATAATTTCCGTGTTTTCTAGAACTCTTATCTTGGATACTTTTTAAAATATTTGCCTTTTTGTTTCTGCTTGGGAGATTACAAGTATTTGGCGATAATGAAAAGTTCCTGAACAACTTCCAGTTATCTATAGATTTGGATTTTAGGTACAATTTACAGGTCAAAACAGAGTAAGTTACAAGCATTTGTGCTTAAGCAGTTATTTTTGTTGTGAAGTCAGTCTAAGTGAATTATTATTTGAGGATTAGCTGTATGAGGATTAACAAGGTTTTACTGCTCAAGAGATTATAGTTATTCAGAAGAACAAAATTAATACCCTCTCTTCCGCCAATAAAAATCACATTTAAAATTAACACATGGAACTGTGGATTTATTTGATACTCTATCTCAATTCTATCAGAGGTAATTAATCCACAAAGAGGAAGGAACAAGACATTTTCCAAAGGTGCCTGCAGAAGGAATCGGCTGAAGCACTGGGCTGCACAGCACCCACCTGGTGCAGTCCTGGTTCAAAGCAGAAACTCCCACAATTAGCACACACCATCAGTTGCTTTCTTACTCTGAGTTATTACAGAACCACAGAAAAACGCCTGTCAATCCCCACCAGCCTGGGAAGGAGGTGGTTACACACAACACCCAGCCTGGCTCCCTGAGCTTCCCCTCCCCAAGCTCCTTCTGTAGCCAGGGGATAGAGAGGGGCTCTCCAAGGGAATATAAAGAAGTCAAATCAAGCTTACATTAGGCTTAAATGCAAGTAATGCCAGACAATTACACAACCTGTTTATTATGCAGTTCTCTACCCCAGCCTTTCACAACCAGGTACTAGTTGGCAATACTCCCAGAGACCTTTCATGAAACTACAGAAAATCCTACAATAGAACTGTGGATTTTCTCATTATGCAAATGTATTTCTAATTATTTTTCAATTCTGTTCTGATTTTGACCTCAATAGTACAGGTTGGCAGTGAATTTCATAGGTTAATTACATGTTATGTA